ATGCCTTTGCTCCGCTCCATCAGCAGCCCTGAAGTTGCTCCTCTGTCTTTCCTCAAGACCAAACATGCCCAGTTGTTTTAAACTTTCCCTCAGACATCAGGTTTTCCAAGCCTTTTATCATTGGTATTGCTCTCCCCAGAGCTCTCCAATTTGTCAGCATCTTTCCGGATGTGTGGCATCAAGAACTGGACACACTACTCCAACCAAGACCTCACCACTACCAAGGAGGACAGGACAAGCTCCCTGGCATACATATGACACTCCTCCCCCTTCCCCCCCCGAATGATTTTAGCCTTTTAAAGCTAATTGAAGATCTCATGCGTGTGGGGATGTCACCCAATGAAGGTCTCATACCAAGAGCATCACGCTTTGGCCAGCAAACTCTTGAACTTTTTTAAGAAGGGGAAAACAAATTAAAACAAGGCTCCATCAAGATTTGGAAGTTCTCTACAAGGGCAAATGTGATGCTTACTGGGGCAGGTCTTCTGCTTCTTGATACACTGGAACTTGGTTCCCAAGGGCTTCATGAAGCAAAAGTGACGAGAGAATGGAGGCAGGGAATAAAAGTCTCAGAAGATCCTATTTGCTTAAAAGCTGCAATGTATGCTTGAGTCCCAGAGGGAACAACTAGCTGAGCTGGATCCGGGAAGCTCGTCCCTCTCAACCAGCTCTGACCTTAACATACCCAGTCTATTCAGCTGAAGCTACAACAGAAGGATCTCAAGAGATAAGAAGAGTAATGAGCTCACACTAGCCTGGGTTCCTCATCATTAACTCTGCACAAACAAAGCAATGAAAGAGGAGTCGGATCCCCAATAACGTTTCCCACCAGCACGAACATGACTGACCAGTTGTGGCTGGGAAATGTGGAATGTTCTGCTCACTGCTCGTTTTCATCAAAGAGCTGCTCTTTCGCTTATAAGTTGCCTGCCTGGTTGAGGTTCAGGTGATGCTCATGTATCATACCTGGGGCAAAGCAATGCCATAGATATGAGCTGTTTTCCCACCGAATGCCTAGGACACATTTCTAGCTTGCACAGCCACAGACATTCCCAGGTCTGGGATCGTTTTTAAGCCCGGATAGCAGAGGAAGAAATATTGTTGTGGGTTGCATCAAAAAAATCTAATGAAGATCACAATTATGATACTTTATTTACACAGTAACCACGTATGATACAATGCAGTACAACACAGCATTTCGTTTCTATGGTAGGCACTATGGGTTTATAAAAGTCACAGCTCTTCTTCCCCATGCAGTTGAGCATTGCAGCAAAGAGAAACAAGAGATCACGGGACTTCCCCACTGAATTCTGATCTAGGACAGATGCTTGCCAGGTGCGGATGATGGGATCTGCTTTCATGCACTAAGGAATAAGACACAATGGGGCTAGAACTTTTCAGCAAGTGGGATTGTCAGAGAGCCCCCAGATGTCTTAGAGCTTTTAGGTCTGGCAGATCTCGGAGGGGTAGCCATGTTAGTCTGTAACTTTAGAAATGAGTCGTCCTGCCTCCTGTGGCATTGGCTGGATGTGTCTCATACATAGCTTTAGATGTGGAAATGCAGATGTGAAATGCAGGAGAAATTGGCTTTTGTGTTAGCAAGAGTCATGAAGACCCAAGAAGACAATGATGAGATGTGAGTTGACAATGGTAAATGTATCACTGTGTGTATGAGTCTACACTGTAGGAAGGATAAGCATTCTGAACTTCAAAAAAGTATGTGGCAGAGGAAAGATACTTCTTTTTTTATCCCGATGATGGACAAGTTGGTTAGGGAAGTGAATTATGGCAGCTGAGGCTTTTCATGATGTTGACTCCTATCACTCTATTGTACCAAATATTATAGCTGTACAAATAGTGCAAATACATTTCTACAAATACCTAACTTTTGGTACCAGTTTGCTTTTCCCTTGTTCATGCCCCTTTTGTATTTGCTCTCTGTGATTATTCTCATGAAGGGAATATACCTGGTAGAAAGGTCCACAGAAGCAGAGAAATGTAAACAGCTATTCATGTAACTGGATAGTGAATTTTTAGAGTCAAATCCATAGCTGATAACAATTGACCTAATTTCAATAGGGCTGCACTGATTTATATCAGTGAAGGATCTGACCCTGGATTCCTAATCATGAATAGATGCACTAAAAACCTGATTCTAAAATTACATTAATCTGCTCTGGAAACAGAAACTTCCAGCCTGATTTACATGTCCAACCAAAATTAACTAGACCAGGGCAAGTATCAAATATTCTCAATAAGTGGTTCACAATCAATCTACAGGCCACAGATTATATGCAGATTTTTTTTTTGGCAAAAAAGTTAGCAAAGTTCTTAAATGGGGAAAGGGAATGGGAAATTCTGCTAATCAATTATTTGTCCAGTTCTTCCTGACATGTTTCTTATTGCTTATTACCATTTAGCAGTGGCAGCAGCTTCATGGAGAATCACCCCAAAATTGTTGCACTTAAACTATAGCCAGTTTTTCCTTTCTTGGGGGAATCCTCACATCAGACTGGGACTGTCTGCACTTGACCATTGGCAGCTTTTGTTCATAATTTTCTCTTTCCTTCTTAATCAAAAGGAAAAGATAAAAAAGGCTACTTGGTTTTCTAAAGGCTATAAAATCATTGGATCTTGAGTCATTCCATTCCACCAAGTAACTATAAACAAAAGATTCAATAAGCAAAACAATATATAATGGACATTCATACTAAGACCCTAATCTTGCCAGGAGTGTCACCCAAATAGACTCTAGGGCCACAGGAAGCCCTGTTGACGTCAACACCTCTTCACACAAGCACAAGGTGCCTACAACGTATTGAGGGACTGAAGCCTTTAAAAAGTAATATATGTTTTTTCTCATTCCAATGAAAATGGTTAATTGGCTCATAATTACACAGATCTTGCCCCTGTCCCAATAAATTCAGGGAACAAGATCAGAGACAAAGATTTTACTAGGCAACACTAGTTAAAAGAAAAGCACCCAGCATCTACAAACTTTCTAGAGAAGCAACTGAATAAAGATTTGCATTTGCTGGAAAAGTCAGTGGAATGATGAAAACATGTCACTTACAGTTTATAAAGAATGACAGATTTAGTGTGTAAAAGCAAGAAAAAATGGATCATGTTTTTAATGTAGCTAATGGGCCAAAACCAAATGAGATGTTCTGGTCTCTTGGGCTAGTGTAAATGACATTGTTCATGTCTTTTAACACAAATTATTGGCTGGATAGGACTGAACTGCACTCTTTGCAGTCAGCATCATTAAATGGGGGAAAGGCACCGCCTAGGCGAAGGAACTTGAACAGTCCTTTGCAAAATTACTGGTGCAAAAGTCAGGATTGTGAGAGAGCCGAGTGAACCACCTGGAAGAGATGCCTAAAAGCAGAGGTTTTTAAATGGGACAGAGACAGTTTGGTGTTTAATGGCCAGCTGAAGTTGGAAACCTAATACTCTCTGGGCATGTTTACACTAGGAAATTATTTTGAAATAATAACTCCTGAAATAATTATTTCAAAATAGTGGGTCCACACTGCAGGGAAGCCTCAAAATTAGTCCGAGGCAGGCTCCCTTAATGTGGATGTGCTACCTCAACTTAGAACTGCAGGAAACACTGGGGAGTAATTATTTTAAATTACTCCAGGGAACAGTTATTTCGAAATAGCAGCAGTGGAGTATCCACACTCTATTTCGAAATAACCACTTTAAAATAAACATTATTCCTTGTGGAAAGCAGGAATTATTATTTCAAAATATGATTTCAAAATAACGGGTTTGGTAGTATGGACGTTCCACTTGTTATTTCGAAATAGCTCCCTAGAGTAGACGAGTGCACAGAGACTTTTGGAAACCCAACAACAATGCTGTCTCTCCTGGTCATTTGTGCCACTCTGGAGTCAGGTGTGGTCCATCATAAGATCACACCAATATGGGCATGTATCAAGTAACAATCACGTGTCCTCTTCCTTTAAGGCTGCATGCTCACTTCCAAGAAGTGTGTTTTGGCTATCCCCGAGGAAGGACACACTGCAGGGGACTGACTCTGCCTAGTCACAGAGAACTGGGAGTGCCACAGCCTTCCCGGACTTGAACCCCAGCGCAGTGGAATGGAGAGAGTCAGTAACATGGGAACAAGTGAACTTTGCTTTAGAGACGGAGCAGAGCGCAGAGGCCTCTGTCAGTTACCACTTGCTCTCTGAAAGGTCAACGTGGCTCAGAATTGCAACCTTTCATGCTTATACTTAGGAGGTGCTCTTCCAGGGTCCCAGGCACAAAGATATGGTGTGAACTTTGCACACTTTAATTATGTCTAGAGAGAATGTGTGGGCGAGATTTGGAAGCCGTATATATCTACCTCTCTATATATTTTGCATGAGCCATCTTTAGAGAAGAGCGGAGTGGGAATTTGTTTGGAAACCTCTCTGAACAAATGAACAAAAGAAAAAGTGTCAGATCTATGAAGTATTTGCATAAGAGCCTTTAACACCAAATCCCCCCTCTTCCTCTGACAAAAAAACAAAAGAGACACCCCCAGATCATATGAATCACAGGGAAGTGCTGAGCGCAACATGTCCAGCTGTTAGACATGCTCTAACAGCAGCAGCCACAAACTCTGTCTCCTGGTAAAACGTTTCACAACTCACCATGTTGGTAGCCCCGAGGTTGCCTCTGGGCCTGTTGTGGAATGAGACTGCTGACTGCTACATTGAGCTGGCTTTCTCTCCCAGGGTGCGCTGATGCAGAAAGGTGTGGCTAAGATGCACAGCCCTCTGCATCCCGTAAGTTAACGAACAATCATTGCAGATGACATTCTGTATAGTGAAGGGGGAATATAAAGCTTGTCTAAAGATTTTCTTTTAAAAGATTTTTTTAACATGCCCAAGCTATTTGGAAATTCTTAAATCCCTCTTCAAATGTCATCTGCTCACCCCATTGTTTCCTTTTTAAGTATTGCTAGTTCCGCTCCCTGGGAGTTAATTCCTTCTATCTCCCATAAGGCTCATACCCTGCTCAGACAGGATAATGGTAGCATGAGAGCTGAGTTTTAATGCCTTGAATATACAGACTCTCCAGGGAGTGGTGTAGGGCCCTTCCTATTGAACAAGGGGAAAGTGGGTGGATTTGGCTTGGTAATTCAAGTGATCTTCAAATCTCCATCATGTCCTCGTCTGGGGATTTGAATGGAAAGCTGTCTCCTCCGTCCCAAGAATGCTCTTTGCTCTGGTGAGATTCTCAAGCGGGTGGGACATAAGTATAAAGGGATGGTCTCAAAAGGCATCATGTTGTTTAAAAAGCCCAAAGGACATAAAAAGTCCTAATGGATTGATTCTGTTCTCACTTGTACCACTTTCACCCTTAGATCCCCACCCCAATGTCATTGGAGTCTCTCCTGATTTACACTCACGAGAGTGAGAAGAGAATCAGGCTCCAAATTGTATAATGCATTTTCCAAAATATCTCCTTAGAAGGCTGTCACCAGGAAGCAAAGCACAGTGTCTGGGGACAATGTTGAATCTGAGATAGGCCTCAACAAAAACCCTGAATTCAAAGGCTCCTGAATCTGGGGAAAGCTAGGATCTGAGCTTCGGAGCTGGGAGGTTTGCCTCCACTTTCTCCTCTCAGGAAGAAGATCTTTCCAATTCCATCTCCTGCATGGTTAAGTCATTCTTGAAAAAGGAAGCGAAGTGTCTACAAAAGCCATGTGGCTCCCATTTTAGGGGGTTTAGTAGTTGAGATTATTCACTCCTGATTGTGCAATTAAAAGTCGGGAACAGGAAAAACTGGATTGAGACTTTGAAATCAGCAAAGCAAAGGAACAGTTGGAGCACTCTGAATATTTGGTTTCATGTTTTGTTTTATATGCACAGACAACCTCTTTCTCCTATGACAGCACCACAACTCTGAATAAAGCCCTTGATGATACTGAGATCTGATGTTTCCTAAAAAAGAGCTTTTCAAAAGCAATGTTATAGGGAAAAAAAGAAATAAATTCACACAATTTCACAAGATACAAAATAATTAAGTACAAAAGTAATAAAACAACCCAGCTTAGGCTGAGCTTTCTGTACACACGCAAGAAATCCGATTAAGATAAAAAAAAGTAAAAATAAAAAATCCCCCAAACAAACAAGTGAAGTGACACTTCGTGCTTTGCAATCCTGTGTTCTGTAACACTGGTAAGATGATTTTTTGACTGTATATCCACACAATGACAAAGCAAAGCTCTGGGACTCTTTTCAGTTTGTTTTGCATCAAGCCCGCATAATAGTCTTAGTCAGCCTGGATTTTTAGAGGAAAAAAATCCAAGCTGCAAAAGGGTTTATAGATTTTTCAAGAAATCAGACATGGAGACATGTTGTTGTAATGTGTGTGTGTAGCATAAAGCTATGAGCTAGTGTCTGAAAAAGGCGGCATTCTATAAGCACTAAATTTTCAAAATAAGGAAAATTGTACAGAAAGCTTTCAAAGGTTTATACTTGACAATTATACATATTTTATGAGACGGTTATGCAACCTGTTCCTTTGTTTAATTCATTAGCTTATGGATGCAGTATCTCTATGTTAGCAGAGGATACAATAAACTGATCTAAATATTGTGGTTCAAATGCATCATTTATCACCCAACATTTACAAACAGCACTGCTCGTTTTTTCCCTTTCCACTCCACTCTTTACCAAATGATTCTGTACAAGGTTCCAAGCCAAGAATAAAAACATATATTGGTACATTATTGGTTGAATATTTGGCACAGTGCAGTTTATTTGATATACTGGGTTCTTTGCCCTTACTGATGCTGAACATTTAATGCAGTGCATAAATTATGAAACACATCTGTAAAGTAAGTTAGTCTGAAAATGGTCTTATACTGCCAGCTTTTAACTGTCTTGATTAAAGCAAGGTCTGCTAAAACGGTACTGGACACGAATGGCAAGTTAACTTCACTGCTCCTTTTGTGAGGAGTTTGGTGTGTCCGTTCCTGGCAATGAACATAACTCTGGGAAGCTCACCTACTCCCGGGACACTTGAAGCTTGTAAGTTCACAATAAAAGACAAACAAACCTCCGGAGATTCTTAATTAACAATGCTAACCCTTAAAATGCTACTGACATTTACTCCATTGGAAACACGGTCGGTTTCAGTTACCGTTGGAGAAAATTAATTAAACCCAGCCATGTTTTATTGCTTAACAGTAGGAATGCTCTGGAAAAAGATAACATAGGAAAAGTTTGATCCAAGGCCCATTGAAATCAATAGAAAGATTCCCCTTCATTTCAAAGGGTATTGGACAAAACTCCAATTTAAAGATAATGCCAATTCTTCCCCAGGTTGCATGGGGGGGAGCATCCCCTACAGAATTTAGGTGCAATTTTCAAACATGCTCAGTAAGGCCCAAACTCTGGTCCTAGCGATTAATGGCCAATATTAGGTGCTTTTGAAAATTCTGTCCCTTTATAGAAGCCCTGAATGAAACTCTAAGGGCAAATTTGGCCCATAGCAAGTCAGATCCTGCACCATTTCCTCACATGAGTAGGATCCTTGAAATTAATGGGACTTACTCACGGGAATAGAAATAGTCTGAGTAAGGGTCGCAGGACAGGACTCAAGTATTCTCTCTCTCTCTCTCTCTCTCACACACACACACACACACACACACATATAATTTTAAGGAATACTCCCATTCCACCTTTGATTGCAAATAATACATATTTAAAAATTGGAGAGTACATAAACAAAGGTTCTCTCCATCTATGTATTCACTGAGTCACATGTTATATGAAAAAATAATCTGTAAATTATTATATCGTACTAGAATTCTCCAGCTGGTAATTATTTTTATAGAGACACAGTGCATTCTCTCTTTTAATTTCTTTTTAATAATGTATGTCCTCATTGGTTTGACAGTGCATCAGAATGAAGGCATATAGAATAAAAAAATGCAATGGATTAACTGAATCCCTTGCATGATATGGTGGCATATTGAAAAGAAACCGGAAAAAAATGCAACTGGCATTATAAATCCCCCTATAGAACACTGTCAGCGATTTAAGGGTTAACATAGATTTGAAAGTACTTAAACCTTAAAAGGATTATTGAGAGAAATATTTGGAATTTTAAAAAAATGACAACATTTGGCAAGTGTAAGCAAATGACTTGAACTTTACTGGGTATTAGAGATCTGAACACAGCCATTTACAGAGAACCAAAATCTGAGATCTGCTGGAAGGACAGTGGAGCCTTTGACCACCAATGTAAGCTGGCTAGAGGGTATACGGCAGCATTCAAAGTATCTAACATGGAATCATGGCTGGTGCAGACAGAGTGTAAGTAGTTTAATCAATCCTGCACTGTTCCCTCTTTTGACATCATTGAAAGAGTGCATTGGACTTGAACAGCACCCAGACTGGCTAACCTGTTAGCCCATATTGCAAAGGTGACAGAGCTGCCCAGATCCCCAATGGCAAGCAGTGTCACTAACGCTTATTCAGGAATTGCTGTTATTTGCTTGTTTCTTCTCACCAGGTGCCCAATGTCCATCCACTGTGGTCTCTGACAAAACCCTGGCTTTGCATCTCCCAATGCCCTTGTAGGTGACTCCATCCTGGAAGATTGTACCATCATCAAGGGGGCTGGTACCCAGCTGGAGTGGTTTTGAGTTCTTTCCAGCACTCCGAAAGGATTTCAAAAATGATCCCATTTAAAGATTTTGTTATTCTGAATCCTTGGCTCTGACTTTTGAGAAAAAAACAAAAGTTTCCTGTTTTTTTTTTTAAATTTTATTCTCTCTCTTTTATTTAAAAAGGACTCTTATATTATTAATATAGAGTTCATCCATCCTTAGTCACTATAAAACAGACTCCATATTTTCACACCACTCGTGATCTTCAAGGTTATAGATAAATTTTGTCCTATGTGACTGGTTTTGGGGCACAGAGTCCCGCCCCAGATTATCTAGGGTGAGAGTAGAGGCAAAGAATTCACTAGTGCTGAGACCGCCTTCATGGTTCTTGATGTATCTTTTATAGTTTTTCCTCAAGCATTGCCAGGTAGTTGTGTATAAGATGAATGCGAAAGACTTCAGGGCTATAGCAATGCTAACATATAGGTATCTATAGACCACATTGTCATATAATGCACAGGCTCCTTGTTCGCCACAAAACGTGCTCCAGAACAGACATGTTGAGTCAATTCCAGCCCCAAAGATCAAGGGCGGTGGGATAAAACCTGTCAAAATAAAAGAGATAAATCATGCTGTAGTGACCTATGTGGTAAAGGGACAGGACTCAGCCATAGTGAATGGAAAGGAGATTATTTGTTAAGGGTTCTCTCAGGATCTCTAATTTCTAGACAAACTAGGCACATCTGGTAGGGACTATCGGCCTCCAGGATCTTGAAGACCTGCCCTGGGCTCAAGAGTTATGGAAGGGATCGCTCACAATCCCACAAATACAACACTCAGTTTTAAATAGTTTGTCCTTACATTTCAAATGTGCTGTTTGAACATAGCCTAATACAGCTCACCACCCAGTTTCATAAAGAAGCAGAGAAGGCCCTAAGCTATGGAAATTGACTCTGCACCCAGATCAAAACTTTCATGGTGTTCACATCCAAGGTTCAGTTACAATGCCTGAAATTAGCTGTGGAGTTCAGATCCAGAACTGAACTTTCTCCAATTTTGGGGGCGTCTAGATCCAGGATCAAGGGCAGAGGGATAATGATCTCTAATAAGTGCAGGAGAATGGACCGGAAAGAAAGAGATTCTGTCATTATCCCACAATGTGAAATACCACAGCAGAACTCTCTCCTTGAATCACTGCAGTTACAGGCAAATCAGCATGTCTCATCTGAACTCTGCTGCGAGTGATTTATAACAGGGTCAGGACCTTAAAACAATGCCCAAGTTCTCATTAAATCCACACAAAAATATAATTTTGGAGTTTCCCCTTTCTGCTTGAATACTGCAGGGGTCTCCAGTCTTATATAATCCATCTATATATTTTAGTAATGTGCATCTGCCTGTCTGTATGTGAGTCTGTTCAAGAACTCCTCCTAAACGGTAAGAGTGAGGACCACCAAATTTGGTAGCAGCTTCCTCTTCTCATAACGTAAAGCAAGGTCAGGGTTTGGTTGCACCAGGAAAACTGGAAATGTTGGGAATGGGACTGTTTTCCATAACATGGCAAGGGAGGGGATGTTTGGAGGGACGCAATACTCACAGTGACCACAGGGGGCAGTGTGCCTGCAGAGGAGAGTAATACTGCAGAGTGACCACTGCAGGCAGCTGCACCAGTAAGAGCATGGCCAGCAAGGCTGAGGCTCAACATCTTGCCTGCCACGAGACAGGGTAAGTGCAGCCCCCTACCTGGGAGACAGCCCTCCATGTCCCCCTGCCTGGGAGGGGCTGGGGGAAAGAGAAAGCCCCCACTGGCCCTTGGGGACAAGCCAGTAGGAGGGGTGCACAGTCCCTGTTTCCTTAGGCTGCCCTTGGAGTGAAGCCAGTGGCCACTCCCACACTCCCTGCCCTGAGCCTTTCCTTAATCCCAACCCTTACTCTCACATGCCCCCACATCCTCAGCCCCCAACTCTGACTTCTATATCCCCCATGACTCTAGCCTCTTGCCCTAAGCTCCCACATTCCCAAGACCCTACCCTGCTTCCTGCATCCCCCACATCGCTAGCCCCCTGCTCTGAAGGACCCGGGAAATGCTGGGTAAGTCTTCTAGCCACATACATCAATATCTTTCACTCTGACAAGATCCAAACGTGCTTTACTAACAGTGGGCATTGAAAGAGGGGATCTAAATCTCATCGTTGAGCACATAAATTGGGGCACCTAAATATCAAGCCCTTAACAATCAAAAGCAAGTTCTGGGTGCTCTATGCAGTAGGTATCATTTCACCTACCTCTAAGATATTCCTTAAGGGTAGACAACAACATTTATTGAAAACTGATAAATAACATCACTGCTACGGTTTAGGACAGGAAGTGAAGAAGAATATCTTTTCCAATAAATCCACAGAGCAAATTTTAGGGTGGCATAATGTCTCCTATTGGAATCTGTCTAATAATACCCCCATTTCCAGATAATGAGGAGCTCTAGAAATACATATGCAGACAGACGTAAAGGCTGCACACTCTGGCAGAGTGATGATGAATTAAGGATCAAGTTTCACCATTAACCCTGATTTCTTGGCTTAAATGTAACACCATTCCTTAGCTTGTCACGAGTGCCATTTCTTTGCTGTATGACAATATATGTCAGGAATACAAATACATTGGTTGGCTTCTCTTTTGCCTCTGGGATGGGAAGCCTTTTTATTTCTCTCCGTTAATGACTAGAACTCTGCAGATTTTTGTTTGATCTTTCACATGGGCTAATAAATGCAGGACTTATCAGGCTATGCCAGTTTTCAGTACTTACTTTACCAGTTATTGACATCAGGGATATGAAGCAGTAAACAAAAAAACAGATAACTGGCTAACAAAAAGATACTGCTGTCATTAGAAGTACTGGCTCTATTCATCATGGCTATGTCTAGACTGGCCACATAAGACGGAATAGGCATGCAAAACAGGCAAGTCAGAATAGGGAAATCCGCGGGGGATTTAAATATCCCCCGCGGGATTTAAATAAACATGGCCGCCGCTTTTTTTCCGGCTTGGGGAAAAGCCGGAAAAGAGCATCCAGACTTGCAAGTAGGAATCAGAGATCCTCCGGAAAAGGGCTTTATTCCGGAGGATCACGCCAGTCTGGATGCTCTTTTCCGGCTTTTCCCCAAGCCGGAAAAAAAGCGGCGGCCATGTTTATTTAAATCCCCCGCGGATTTCCCTATTCTGACTTGCCTGCTTTGCATGCCTCTTCCGGAGAAGGGGCCAGTCTAGACGTAGCCCAAATGTAAAGCGTGGTAATGCCCTGAGAAATGACACTGCGTAGCTCTCTATTTGTTTTCTCAATGATTTCCAGACCAAGCTAGTCTGTTTGCAAGTGAAACGGTGAGTTTCTTTTTAAATAGGTGCAAACAACTGCAAACTCAACCTGAGATCTGCAAATTCTGCTGGGGTGTCTCCAGGGCTAAGCTCGTAGACGGTGTTGATGTGACAGAAAGCAGAATGGAATCCACTATACGCTCCCAGTGCTGGACTGGATCTAGAGCACTATAAGAAGAGTAAAAACTAGATGTTGGAGAGAACAAAATGCCTTGATCTGAACCCCTTTAAGCTCCTTAATGGAGCTATTTCATTGATCCCGTGAGCCAAACCTGAGCTGGATGGGAGCTGTGAATAAACAGGTGTTTAGGGAAAATAGCTGTGAAAGACTTTCAAACCCTAGCAGCCAGATTGCTTTGATGAACTTTTCTTGGCTACCTCCACAAGGACAAGGGCTAGACACTTCCAACAGGTGACTGGACTTGATATTTAGACTGTCTACACTGGGAAGGTTTGGCGACAAAAGTGCTGTTGACATACAAAAGTCGCCAACAGTGAAAACCACTCAAACCATTTTCTGCCTCCCATTGTCAACATTTTATGGCCACATTGCTAGCACCATGTCGACAGGTAAGAGCAAAGCCATGTGGGAAACCATCCCACAATGCAGCGTTATTGGATGGCAGAGATGATCCCTGCGCTTCTTGGGATTCCCTTATAGCTCTATGAGCGCTCTGTGCTGAGGATGGTCAAAGCATCACAGCAGTCTATCCAGCCCTCCTCCCTGCAGCAGCAGCAGCCTGCCTGCCACTGTGTTCCTAGGAGAGCAGAACAGAAGCATTCCAATGATTTGCTCTTTCTGTTTGTTCCCCAAACAGTGGCTCACTCATCTGTCAGATACTTCCAGAGCTTTGAAAGGGGAGGGGGGCGCATGACTGCAGGGCAGCAGAGATTACAAAACATTGAGCAGAGCCATCAGGGCAGGCATTGTGGGATACTGGCAGAAGCCAGTTCTCTTGACATAACAAACAGCAGAATCTACACTGGCTCTTTGTGGACAATAAAGGGAGGGGAAATGACAAACGTCCCTCACAAGGGTGGAAGTTTTTGGTTGCCAAAACTGGGTGCTTCTCCTGACCAAAGTCACATTGTAGTGTAAACGCTCTCACGATTTTGTCACCAAAAGGCAGTTTCTGGAGACAAAATGTGTCAGTGCAGACAAGGCCTTAGAGTGCTTTGGAATTACAGGAGGTCTGTGACAGCAGGCTTTGTGGCCTCCAAAGTCCAGCTCGATGGGCAAGCCTTGTACCTTTAGTGTGTCACACTGAGGGATGCTAGGAGGCTGGTTTTAAAACAAAAATATCAGAAACTCCCTTGGTAGCCAGATATTGCACTTGAGCTGCCTGTTCTGGGGAGAAACTGCAAACACCATCTGGGAAGGGAAATGTCCAGGATCTTACTGTCATGCATAAATCTATTTGCCATTTCAGATGTGCTCAGTTAATGCTGACATTTGCTAATGCAATCAGGATGGAATTACCATGCATGTTTGACTTGTGCCATTTGCAAAAGTTTTTTCACCTTTAGATAAGCCTGAGATTCAACGTTCCAATCCAGATCTTGATTTTCCCCAGTTATGGGGGGCATTCAGATACACACTTTTGTCGGGTTTTCAGTGACGGCATATGTGAAGAAGTGAGATGGTATTTGAAAACATTCTCCATATCCAAGCCTCTTATATGGTAGCTGCTGCTTTCAATACCACTGGGGCTCCACCAGCCCTATTTTAGTCTCTTTTCTAAGAAACTACTGTAACACTTTTATCCTGAGACATTAATATGCTGCACGATCATACCAGAATTCCTATGAAATAAGATAATACATCCAGGAGGATACCAGGAGAATTCAGTCATGTTTCATGTTATTATGCTGAATATTAAAGAGATTCAATCATGCTTTACTTCATATTGCAAAGTGTCGCACAAATTGCTGTTATCTATATTTTAGTGCAGAAACTGCAGGGCTGTTTAAAGACGTATCCTCTGTCTTACTAAAATCTATTAACTCAGATTGTACCTCTGGGTCTCATGCCTCAGATGTTTAATACTCTCCTTTGGTTCAAGAAGAAGTTCTTATTGGTCCCCTTTTTAAATCTAAGCTTAAAGTTGAAGTGAAAAAGCTTTTAAAATCAATCCAGCCTCAAGCCTCAAATTATGAAGGATGAGTTTTGGAGTCTTCACTCACACTGAGCAGTACCTTACCCTTCATGTAGCCTCTCAGTGGATACTCTCCTGGATGTATTAACATATTCCACAGGGATTCTGCTAAGATTGGGTGGCATATAATTTGCTATGAAGAAGTTACTGCAGTGACAAGAGGACTGGGGTGTGTCTCATCCCAAATATGGGTGGCAGAACCTAGCCCTAACAGAATTACATATGCCAACTTCACAAACATTAATAATACACTACAATACAACAACAATAAAATAGACAATTAGTAACTTCCATTGCAAATACCTTTATATTTGGAATGTAAACTTAAAAACTTTTTCCCTCCCTCGCTTAAGCTACCTCCGAGATTCTGCATTCAACCTAACTTAAAAACTTTTTCCCTCCCTCGCTTAACTGATATAGTCTACCTCCGAGATTCTGCATTCAACCTGCAAGAGCTGAGGACAGGACAAGAACCTAAAGCAACGTGCACAGTGAAAGGAAACATTGTGCTTTAAGGGCCTGATCCAGAGCCCATGCAAGTCAACCAGAGGATTCCAGTGATTTCTCTGGGCATTGGATCTGCCATCAAAAGCGTGTGGTGTCTTATTAGCACTGAGGAAAGCATTTAGCTTTTGATGAGGGAGTGCATTTCAGACCTGGTATCAGTGCTGAAAGATTCCCATTGATTTCAGTGGAAGTTGGATTGGGCCTTTATGCTCATGTATGTCACTGGATACTGGTGACAAACTTGGTGTCAGAATTCTGATGCAAAATATGGACCTTGCACTCAGAGACTAGTCAGCAGGATACAAGGGACTATGGGGTGTTCAATCTCTCTCTCTCTGAAAGAAAACAGGCTGCAATGGAGAAGGCCAATGAACTGCACATGTACATAATCTCCTAGCAGAGAAGAAATGAGTAGCCAAATCCTGAAGTGTTTGGAATAGCGGCACTTCCATCTATACCCACACTGTCATAGTATAAAGCAAAATCCTCATACTCCTCTCTTGGAATTCACACCTCCGGATCACCGACTAGAAGTGGGCCTCATCCTCCCTGATTGGATCCACTTCATCATCTCCAGCCTGATTCTGGCCTGCATATTTATACCTGCCTCTGGAAATTTCTACTACATGCTATGGAGGCTTTAAGAGGGGGCGAGCGCCCCCTCCCGGCAGGGCAGGGGGGCTCAGCGGACCCGCCGCCTGAAGTTACTGCAATAACCCCGGGGTTGGCCCCCGGGTACCGGAGTCGGAGTGCGTTCCCCCGGCTGAAGGTCCGGACCGGGGCTCGGCGAACTCCTGGCCTGGCCCAATTAGGGTTCCTGGGTCCGAATGTACAGTAAAGGGAGGTAGGGGCCTCCCGAGGCCTGTTCTGGGATGAGGTCCTTGCCAGGAGGGGGAAGGAAATATAGAACGGCTTGCTGCGTAGTCCTGTTTGTCTGTCTATCACTGTGGCGCGGGAGAGTGTTGCCACAGCCTACGGAGTAAGTCGGGCTTATGCGAGGAGGGGGGGGGACGTGGGGGACCCGGGCCCACCCTCTCCACCGGGTCCCAGCCCAGGGCCCTGAGTAGGGGAACAATAGCCGCATATCCCCGTAACTCACCTGTCCATGGGCGCCAGAAGGGCCCTGCCCCGGACTCCTTCCACTCCCCGCTCCCCTTCGCCCTGTCGGCGTGCCTGCAAGAGGCGCTTACCCGCCCAAAGCGTTGGCCTCGTTCAGCTGCCGTCCTGCGGGTTCTGGGGCTGGCCTTCCTGTCCTCCAATGGGAGGGGTCTCTGCCTGGTAGTGGGGTCGTTGGCTGCTCCTCCGGGTGCCGCCTCTAACTGCTCTGCCCGGCCGCTTTTCAAGCGGCCCGGGCAAGGACGCCGGGGATGTTGCCTCCCCCCCCCGGGCGTCTGCATGCTCCCTGACGTCAGGGCCGGGGCGTGCCACACTGACTCCAGTCCTGCGCAGCCCCAGCTGGCCGGCGCGCCGCTCAGGCTCCCTGCCCGCCTGCCGTGGTCACTCCTGGCCCCGCCTTCCCCAGTGCAGGGCAGGACGCTCCGCCCTGAGGCAGGTTTCCACTCGGCCGAGGCTTCCCCTGTCTCCCGGGCTGCCTGCCTGCTCACCCGGTGCCGTTGGGAGGGCGTTCCCTACCCCCGGGGCGAGTGCGGACCCGGCTGGGTCTGTCACACATGCATCTGACAAAGTGGGTCTTTGCCCACAAAAGCTTATGCTCCAACACTTCGGTTAGTCTATAAGGTGCCACAGGACTCCTCACCGCTTTTATAGTATGAGGCAAAATCCCTTGACTACAACCATACAGTGGATGGATCTCTGCTGCAAAAGACTCTATCTGGAACTAAAAGACAGGACTATGAAGCACTTTAAAGACCAACAAGATGGTTTAAAGCTCACCACCTAATAAACCATCTTGTTAGTCTTTAAAGTGCTGCATAGTCCTGTCGTTTGTTTCAGCAAGACTAGAATAACACGACTACATCTCTATTACTATTCTGTCTGGAACTATCATTGAGCCAGATTCTTCAAATAGTTCCTCATGTTGGATTGGACTTGGCTCAGTGAAATCATGAAATAGGCTATTCAGCTCCTCCTACAGGAGGAGGTTGGATTGGACTTGGCTCAGTGAAATCATGGAATAAGAGGCTATTCAGCTCCTCCTATGGGAGGAATGTGAAATCTGGCCCACAGAGTCAGAGGAAACCCATAAGTAAAATACCAGCAGAACATATCTGTGAGACTGACCCTGAAGCAATGGATCAGGGAGAATTTTATCCAAAGTTCTGAAAAAAAGGGGTTGTGCCTTTAAGTCCCAGCAGAACATATCTGTGAGACTGACCCTGAAGCAATGGATCAGAGAGAATTTTATCCAAAGTTCTGAAAAACAGAGGTTGTGCCTTTAAGTATGCACCTTTACAGTCATCCTGGTAAGGGGGAGGGGAAGGAGGGGGACAATTACAGATAATGTTTTCTCTTTTATTCAGGCATGAAGAGACATACATTGATCTAACAGTTTGACCAAATGTATTTTAATGGCCGATTAAGCCAGGCAACAGCATTAAGGTTCAGCTTGGTTTTTTTTTTCCCCCTAGAAAGCAGGACGACTCAGCTACCCCGACTGGAAGAACAAAGCTGTCCTCAAAATGGTGTGAAACCATTTGTCCCTGCAAGTCAGGAGCACAACAAAGAAATCATTTCACATGCTGCTGACATGTTAATAATGACTGCGGAGAATTAACTAGTTGGGTGGAAGGGAATCTCACTCAACACATGATTTCCAACATGAGCATGACTGAAATGGCAGGAGAGGCATGAGCTATGACCATTTGAGGCCTTTCCACCCATACGCAGAGAAAGGGTTGGGTCGCCCCTTAGATAAATGCCAGCACTGGACAGGCATTCAACCAAAGGCAGGCAGCGGGGAAGGAGGGAGAAGAAAGGGGGCCTGAAATCAGAGGACATTCACAGCTTGACACACATATAAACCTTCAATTAATTTTTAGGGTGCGGGGAGGAGAGGGGGAGAAAAAAAATCATTGTACATACCTAGCAAACGGAGCAGCAGGAAAAGCACCCCCAAAGCATAAGACTTAAGTTCAGGGCTCACTGTTCTGTACAGAGGAGAAAAGGAAATTGATTGTTATCGTACAGCTTTCATTAGCAAACCCGGTCACTGTGCTTTGCTGTCAATCAGGACGCCACTGTCACCTCTTCAGAAAATCATTAACAGGCTTCTTTTCTTTTTTCTTCCCCCTTGGTCCAATTGCCTGCAGCCTGAAAAATAATTGCAACTGCAGCCGCATGATAAGTCCTGGAATTTAGCTGCGTTGTTAATAATGGGCGCTAATCTTGTCATTTGAAGGAAAAAATGCAAATCCTATCCCAGTAAATTATCATTTATAGAATCCCGGTATCACTTTTCAGGACCTGGATGCTTTAAATCAGCAGGATATAAACCAACAAAATCCTCTTTATTGTAACTTAATTGTGGGTAGGATGGGGTGGGGAAAATGGGAGTGGAAGAGCAAAGAGGGAAAATGACCAACTTGTCATTCCCAGGTCTAACTCTTAAATCAGCCAGATCAGCAAAGGTTCATATGCTGGCCTGTCCACACAGAAGAAACAAAAAACAGGACTGTGTAGCACTTTAAAGACTAACAAGATGGTTTAATAGGTGATGCGCTTTCGTGGGCCAGACCCACTTCCTCAGATCAAATAGTGGAAGAAAATTGGAAGGCAATTTTCTTCCACTATTTGATCTGAGGAAGTGGGTCTGGCCCACGAAAGCGCATCACCTATTAAACCATCTTGTTAGTCTTTAAAGTGCTACACAGTCCTGTTTTTTGTTTCAGCTGCACCAGACTAACACGGCTACATTTCTACCACTGTCCACACAGAGTGATGCTTATGAAACTGAGATTAGTTTCTGATCAGTTTTGACGTGGGAAGATAATGGGCCAGGCTAGTCATAGCCCTTTACTTTGAATACAACCCTAATCTATCTGGCTGCCATTAATCTCTGAAGTCACTTTAGCTGCATCTAGACTGGCATGATTTTGCGGAAATACTTTTAACGGAAAATTTTTTCATTAAAAGCATTTCCGCAAAAGAGCATCTATATTGGCAAGTGGCTTTGCGCAAGAGATTTGCTTTTGCGCAAAAGCATCTGTGCCCAGTATAGACGCGGTTTTGTGCAAGAAAGCACCAGTGGCCATTTTCACCATCGGGGCTTTCTTACGCAAAAATTTCCTGTCCCTGTCTATACTGGCCCTCTTGTGCAAGAACACTTCTGTCTGAGGGCTTCTTCCCGAGTGGGAGCGTCAGAGTTCTTGCGCAAGAACACTGACAATCTTACATTAGATCGTCAGTGTTCTTGCGCAAATTCTCATGGCCAGTTTAGACAGCTGGCAAGATTTTGTGCCAAAGCAGCCGCTTTTGTGCAAAATCTTGCCAGTCTAGACGCATCCATTAAGAATAATAAATAACTTCCTTCCCATTCACATAATTCATGTGATGCTACAGGGTAAAGTCATGCCACTGGTATAAACCTACTGGAGTAATTGGAATTTTACCCAGGATTAATCCGAGCATGAACATGCACTCTCTTATTCAGCACTTTGGAGCAAATAAACCTACTGGAGTAATTGGAATTTTACCCAGGATTAATTTGAGCATGAACGTGCACTCTCTTATTCAGCACTTTGGTGCATAATGGTTCAAGTGAGCCTGGCAATGAACCCCCAACAAAAGGGTCTGCGTTCAAAGGAAGCTTAAAAGCGTCAGATCCCTGCTTCTATTAATCTCTTACATGGTCTCTGTTAGGTTTTATTAGGGATGGGTGCTTCCAATATCTAGACAGTGGAAGGGAACAACCTTTAGAAAGACATCCACTATTGAATTAAAGACTTCAAATGATGAAAACTCTATCTCAACACTCGCAAAGATGTTCCAGGAGTTAATGGCATGGCACAAAAGAGGTCCTGTGAAAGGGAGGGGAAAAAGTAAAGAATAGAGGGAACCAAACTTTACCTCAGTCAAGTATCAGAGGGGTAGCCGTATTAGTCTGAATCTGCATAAATAACGAGAAATCCTATGGCACCTTATAGACTAACATTTATTGGATGCCTCTGACGAAGTGGGTCTTTGCCCACGAAAGCTTATGCTCCAATAAATCTGTTAGTCTAAAAGGTGCCATAGGACTTCTCTTTTTTTTTACCTCCCTGGTGTGTTTTCCCTTTTTTTAGGGGGGGATGTTGGGGGAGGGGAGGGAAGAGGAGGTTAAAAGTTTTCATTTCATATGACTGTTTTTTAAATAGGCTTTTAATATTTTTGAAATTTTCAATTTTTCCATAGAGGAGGTTAAAAGTTTTCATTTCATATGACTGTTTTTTAAATGAAAAAGGCTTTTAATTTTTTTGAAATTTTCAATTTTTCCAGTGAAAAACAAAAAAATTAAAAACTTTCCGTTTTTATTTTTTCATTGAAAATTTTGAAGATTTTTTTTGTGAAACATAATTATCAACTAGCATGTTTCCCTTTTTCCTCAATCAGTTTTTATATATTAAGGATCTTATCTAACTCCCACTGAAGTTAGTGTGAATTTTTCCATTGAATTTAATAGGTACTGGACTGAGCTCTGAGGACAGGTGTATACTAGACCTGGAAGGTTGGCTTAAGGTCTGCAACTCCAGCTATGTATTCTATGTATCTGGAGTTGCCTTACCTTAAGCTGAGTTTGGAGGCGTCCATACAGCAGGAGCCTAATGGGAGCAAACACTCCCGACGGCTGCCCTTGCTCCTTGCAACTGCGCTGGAACTGCCCTCACCGTTTGATTTACAGGTCTGAATCAAACCCATTAAATCGAATGCCAGAACGTTGATCTCTGGCGTGCTCTAAGTGTGTAAGGTCTTCAGGGTATGACCTGTCTCAACTTATGTCTGTGTGACTCCTGCCACACTTTTTGGTGATACTGACAGGTAAATAATAATAATCATGGCAGAGAGACCTCAAAACATCTTTTATTTCTCTGATCACAGCAGTTTTAGCCCCTCCCAGCATGACATAAAGTCAATTGGTTCCAGAATCCAGGCTATATTAAAAACGTCAGTTTTAGATTACAGGGTGGCCATTTAAACCAGACTCCAGGATTTGCAAAGAGACATACTTCCTGGTAAGCACTCTACACATGCCCTTGCTGGCTGTGTCTCAACAACACTGGCAACTGCTGTTTGCAGGGGAGTTTTGAAAACCCATCCCCAGGTGCCTGCCTGTCACCCTTCGTTTCTTTTCTAAGATGGGTGTACGTGTCATTCAGCCTCTTTGTCTCTGCTAGGCTCAGCGTGACCGTGTTCATTGCTGGGGTCGCTCCACTTACCTCAGCGTCTAATACTGACCTGCAGAAACAACAGGGGAATTGATTCAGTGCAGCTCGAGGGGCAGGGAGGCTGTGATTCTGAGCCAGAGGGCTGCATGCAAGTATGCGGCAAAGGCAGGGGTCAGATTTTGTTCCCCCCCCCCCATCTGTCTAGCTACCGTGAAGTGGTCAGGAAATGAGAAAGGCCCCACTTCTGTTGCAGGGAAGAAATGTAATAAGGCTAAAAATTGGCCTGGTGGCAGCATCTCAACCGCGTGATACCTGTCTTCATGAGGATCTTTTAGGGATAGCACTGATCAATGGGAGCTGAGCATCGAAGGACACTCGTTTCCAGAGGCCCTGAGTCCCCACTGAAACCCAAGGGAACTATCGGGCTGAATTCGGTGCAGCTGAAAGGACAAGGGGAGGGGGAATTTTGTAGTGCTCACCCCCACGAACAAGGCCAGATCCTGAGATCTGCTGAGCACCTATCTGTAGCATCTGTCAATTCCAATGGTAGTCAGGAGCACTAAGTGTCAGCAGTCTGACCTCCATACACTCCATGCAGTCTCCCTCGACCTACAGCAGGGGTGGGCAATAATTTTTAGTGGGGGTACATTCCCAAGATTTTGGACAGTGGTCAAGGGCTGCACTTTTCTGTGGTGGAGGTGCGGGGTCTAAGATGGTGCAGAAAAGCACCCAGGGTAGGGGACTAGGGTGCAGGAGACAGTGTGAGGTCTGAGGGAGTTTGGGTGAAGGAGGGGGCTGTGACCTGGGGCAGGGGATTGGGGTACAGGATCAAGCAGGGAGTGTGGGTGCAGGAGAGGATACTGGCCTGGGGGAGGGGCTGTAGGAGGAGGTACAGGGTCTGGTTGGGAGTTATGACATGGGTGTGGGGTGCAGAGGTTTTTGATGGTGACTTGGGCGAGGGAGTTGGGGTGCGGGAGGGGCTGGGGTGCCAGAGGCAGGCTTTGGCTGGGAGGGACGTACCTAAGCATCTCCTGGCCAATAGCCCTGAAGCACCCCTCAAGGCAAGCTGGGCTCCATGCCTGCTGCAGCCCCAGACGGCTTAAAACTGCAGGCTACTTGTTCCATGTGGCTCTCAACTCTGGGAGGGGAGGGGCTTGCATTGCCCCGTCCCCCAGGATGATCTCTCAGCTCCCATTGGCTGATTGGCAGAGAGATTGGCTGAGGTCAGTTTCTATTGGCTGGTTGTTTCTGGCCAATAGGAGCTGAGGATTGGGCTGAAGGCAGGGAGGGTGCACACAGCCTCTCCCTCCAGAGCAGAGAGCACACGAAGTAGCCCTGCACTTAAATCAGTGTACCTGAGGGTTCTGGCAGGGTGTCCACAGGCTGGAACTGATGGATTGGTGGGCCGGATCCAGCCTGCGAGAAGTATCTTGCCCACCCCTGATCTACACCCAGGGGAGGAGCCTTTCAGTTCCCAATTAATTTGCTGCAGACTATTGGAGAAAGTGATGGATCCAAGAGGCTCATCGTATAAGTATCAACTGGGTGCCCAGCACCCACTGGCTGCCCTGTGGATCAGCACCACCTCCTCTCCAGTGCCTCCCGCCCACTGTGATCAGCTTTTCAGCAGCATGCAGGAAGCACTGGGAGGCAGGAAATGAGGGGCAGGTGGGAACCTGGAGTGGAGCAGGGTCAAACATCCCCCAGGAGCTGAGGAAGTTGGCACCTATGGCTCATCAGACCCTCAGGATGGCTCTTACCTGATAAGTATGATAACTGAGGGCGTCTGCGCCATGGCTCCGATCATGCTGCAAACACACATCACACAGAGGAATGTCAAGAAGGCCTCTTGGCAGCCAGGACTGGGGCATTTTCCAGGCATAACTGTAGCGTTCTCAGCTGGGACCAAACTGAGGCATGCGCAGCCAGTGAGATTCTGGAAGGGAGCAAAGTCACGGGGGTTAAAGGAGAACAGGGCCCACTTTCTCAAAGAACAGGCACTTTACAAGGAGCCAGGTTGCTAACTAGCAAGTGGGCACTCTCCAGCGGTCAATTAATTTGCGGCTAATAAGTCCCTTGCTGAGCTGGTTTGGAAAGGCTTTTCAAAGGAAAGGCTCCAATGCCTTCTATCAGCAGGGTAGCTTCTCCTTCTCCTTGCTCTCTTTTTTCCCTGTCCTTCCACTGCTCAAACAAATGTGGCTGTAAGACTATTATCCCCAATGGTCACCCTTGTGAAAAGAAGAAAGGAAGGATCTGTGTACTGGCATCATGATAAAATGCTGCCATGTTAAAGTTACAACTTCCCAACAGGTTGGTTATCTGATGCTTACCGGGTACTGGTTAACTGGTACCTGGGAGCAGCCCATGTGGGTGGGGGGCCGGGAGCAGAAGTTGGTCACCTGCATGCGGGGGGCGGAAACTAGGAGCGGGCTCTCGCTTAATCAGTTAACCAGTTAAACCTAAGGTTTAGTCGATTAACTGATTAACTGGGATTTTACATCCCTGCTTCCCAATATATCCATTCGCCTGGCTGGTGTAGGTCGCGCGGTGTGCACCATAAGGAGACACATCTCTCTGCTGCAGGTTCACCGTCTCACTCTGGCACCTTGAACAACGGCAGGGTGAGTAGGAGGACGCATGCCGACTCTCATAGCTAGGTATGAAAGGGAAGGCGGCAGAGACTCTGGTGATTATGGAAACAACCTCAAGGGTAGTACAGGGCTAACAGATGCCATCTCGTTTAGAAGGATTTGCACAGAACTGAAAGCTGCCGGCAGACAAGATAAAGTTTATCAATATGCGATCAGAAGGCAGAAAAAGCGACCGCGTTCCCTTTGATCTTTCCTGCAAGCGCAGGACGTCAAAAGAGGCTTTGTCTTTCAGGCACAGATGTTTTTGTGCTCACCCCTCCTGGAATTTCTGATGGCAGGGATGTCAGCACAATTAAGGCACACAATAATAGCAAGGAATCCTGTAATGAATACAGAGCAAATATGATCATAAATGATTCATTGGTTGTCTTTGCAAGGCTGTGAGGCTTGCAGGTCACATGCGTCTAAGAAAAAGGAGCAAATAAAATAAAATAAAATAAAATAAAATAAACCCTCCAATGTTCAAATAGAAATTCTTTTGTTTTTATGCTGGGGTGTCTCTGTAGGGATCCACAATAGCACATGTTTTAGTTCAGTGCCTCTATAGACACTAAGATCCATGGGGAACCCCAGTCTGTTCTTTCTGACATTGATCTCTTTCTCTGCATTGCTAATATAATGGTGCGGAGTGCAGCAGAAAAAAAATCCCTCAGAGATCTGTGAATCTAGTAACGCTAATGATATGACTGCAGGTGCCTGTGCAGCTGGCAGGCAATAATGACTGTAAAGAGGCCCTCTTCCATCAGCGAAATGGCCTCCTGAAGGCTCGTCTAGATGAGGGCAAATATCATGCGTGCAACTGTAGTGGTGTAGTTACACCTGTGCAAAGTCCTCTTGCACATGAGCTGCACTGGTGTGACTGACTTGTCCTGGTAAAGTTAACAGGTGAGCCTCACCAATGCAAGCCCTGCAGAGTGCATCTCCATGAGGGGTTAAACAAACGTGTCCATATTGGAAAAATTATTCAGGTGCAACACCCCCAGCACAGACAGGGCCTAAGGTAACTTCACTAGCTCATGTGTTATGGGGATGGCTGGCTATTCAGGAAACCAAGCGGGTCACAACCCTATGCATGGATCATTCTATGTGACCTCTATACAGCTGGAAGGAGTGACTTTCTTTTCTATGCAGTGGGTCCAATTCTACTCTTATTTACATGAATCCAAATCAGATGTCATTCTACTGATATCAATGTAATTAAAGGAGAATAAAGTTAGCATGAGGTCAGATCAGCAGAGAAAGTAACTTAAAATTTCTTACAAGTACTGTCCTATTGCCACCTGGGTCCCTGCCAGCTTTTTAAATAGCTCCCTGCTGGCTTTTGCCACAGCTCAGCCAGCTCTTGCTGAGCTGCACACTGGGATGCACCCACTTACTTTCACCTCTGGTCAGAATCTAGTCTTCCTCCATTTATGGTAAGGAAAGGACTGGACTGAGAATGAGAAGAAACTGGAATCTGACTCGGCCAGGAAACCTCCAAGATGCTGGCAATTCAGCTCAGTGAAGCAGTTATGCCATCCGTATGAGTTCACAGCATATCCCCCAGTCCATATGTGTCTAGCGCCAGTCCGATCCTTCTCCCCTTTGTGCTTTCCAATCATCCAGCACCAAGATGTTATCTTAGAGCACCGCAGTGGAGCTAGAACTGAATGAAACAATTTTTTTGTGCTCTTCCTAGTTCTTACCTAAGAGACCTTTGATCTTTTGTTACCGACACCATAACATGCTCTAGCAACACACAGCAACATCGAACACTAACATTCATCCTCTTCTATGAAGAAGCAATATTTTGCTACATGTGCCAAATTGCTATTGATTTTCCTGGACTACTCTGCAATCCCATCACCAGTCTGTTGTAAATTTATCTTTGTCTTTCTACGGCTCAACAGCTCATACAAAGGGAAGCAGATTTTTGAAAGCACACATACAATATTTGCACACCCAGGGGCCTTGATTTCTTGTGGAAATTATGTGTGCAAATTACCCATGTTTTGTGGTTTTAACAACCTGGTTCTGATTGGCAAGGAACAAGCTGGCATTTCAATGTGAATCCCTACGACTTCAGCACTACAACATTAGATTTGGAATTCATGTGCTCCCAGCCAAAGGGGAAATTGAAAAACAACACCATGAAACAAGATAGATAGACAATGGCTTAACCCACAAGGGTCACTGAGAGTGGAGGACTGTTTAGAAAAAGAATTTGCTGAAATGAAAGTGTCCCCTCTGTGCCCCTTTAGCACTAATAAACCCAAAACCTTTCTTCAGAGCAACTTCATCACAAAGAACAATAGCATTCATATGAGAAAGGCAAACTAACTGAGCAGACCATTAGAGACCATTCATGGAGAGAGAAAGCAGAGATACAGGTCTGGAAACACACAGTGCAGTAAAGTTAAATAAAACATTCGGAGAGTTTTATGCCCCAGTAAAAAGCAACTCTTGGCTCATCACACGTATATAATATCCACCAACCCCTCTAGACAGGTCATTATCTGGATTATGATCTTAAAACCTGGTTTGGCAATTTGGCCTTGCTTCAAGGCCATTACATGGCCAAACTGGTCCATAATTCTTGATAATGCCCTTTCCAGAGGATGCTATTGCCTCATTAATTCATGGCCAAAAATGTTCCTTTGAAAAGCCCAGGATGACTCTGCCAATGAAAAGACTGAACAGGAGAGAGCAAGTGAGGAAGAGGAAGGAGAGAAAGAAAGAGGGACTTTTGCTAGATGGGTTTATGCTTATAGCATGTTAGCTCTGATCGTTACATAGCAAAGAGACCCCAAACAATCCCTGGAAAAAGAGAGAGCTTTGAGCAATGCAGTGTAAATGACACTTTTACACCCTGCCACTATCTAGCATTGTTTCTTCTTGCTAGTGAATGATTTGGCACATCAGGGGGACGCTTGTATCCTACTAACACTTCGCTCCGTGCCAAAAGTTTTGCTGTCAAAACAATCACACTGGAACTAAGTGCTGGTTGTAAGGCAAATGCCAGAGGGAATGCATGAGTTTAACATGTACAACTTCTGTGTTTTTGCATGTAAAGATCCAAGACAAAATTATTTTCTTAGCTATAACACAAAGATCCAGGGGAGCTGGCATCATGCTGTCTCCTTTGCTGGTAAGCACTTTTGTAGAATGCAGGGCATTTCATTTATCTCAGAACACTGTAAACAACTCAGTTACAGTGTTACACTGCTGGAGTGAGAAGCCAGAAGTGAGGGTCGTAACGAACAAGTCCACATATGTGTCCACTTGTTGCCCCCCCCCAACTTGTCCCTGTACAGTTGACTTGCGATGACCTGGTAGAGGCTGCAGTTTACCCATCCAGTGGTGAACTCTTACTGATGGGTTTGACTTGAGAAAAGATGATAGAAAAGCCAAATGAGGACTTGAGGATGTGCCTGGAGATGATCACAGAAAGAGGAAGGCCACCTTTAGTTCCCAGGATTCTGCATACTTGGGCCAGAGGCGCATGGAGTGAGCAATAATATAAAGCAGGGCAATAATTTTTGAGGGAGTGTAACCAAATTATCCAAAGGAGAACCCGCCCCCGCGAGTTCAGGGGAGGAAGGGGGGCGCCAAATAATGTTTATGGCCCGTTCCCAGTGCACAGAAAGCACCCTGGAGTGGGAGCACCCTAGCCCCTGCCGTAGGTGACCATAGCAAGGTTGGCAGTCAAGCCCCCAGGAACCCTTTCCCAGCCTTGTTGTTGTTACAAGGACTCTGCCACACAGGGGAGTGGAAGGGGAGCCCTCGACATCAGGGAGGCCTCTGGATAAAGGAAGTGGGAGCGGGAACTCAGAGCCTTTTGCTAGCCCATTTCACTAGGGCAGTGTAGAAGCCAGGAACGTTTCCCTCAATAGCAAGACCATTCCCCCCAGTGATGTCTAGCAATGTGCTACATGGAGGATCATCCAAATTCACTCCCTCTAGCAAGTAAAAATTGCTCACGTAGCACCAGCCTACTGAGGCCATGAGGTCAAAGCGCCAATGCCATGGCTCCATGAAAGAAGGGAGCTCATGGAGATAAGATTTCTGTCCAGCAGCTGCAGTGATTTTTCATTTGTTAGTCAGGAGATTTTATCTCTGCTTGCTAGCACCTCCAGGTCCACAAGGCTTGTCGGGGAGGAACCAAGGTTTTGATACGCACCTCCCCATTTGGGTGTGATATCTCCTCTCTATCTTCTCCTAAAGCATTGGCCTGCTCTTTGAAGTGGCCTGACCCTTCTGCACACCTGACAGCAGCACCATGGGCATGTCTCCTGACTCTCCCCTCTGGGCATATGGTACAATGGAAAAGGGGAATG